TTCTTTTTTTTGTTAATATACATTAAATTTTTGAAAATATATTGAGAGGCCAAAATTAATATATTTATTTTTATAATTTTTTTTTGAGTTACTCTTTAGGCTTTAGGTTGTGAATAGCTTTTTCCGCAAAACAAGAATAGTTTCTAAACGACATCCCATAAGACACTATGCTATGGCCAAAGTCATATATTTATCGACGAGATGATATATTTTCGTTTGTTTTGAATTGTTAAAGTTACAATAATAGCAAAGGAGCTGCCTACATCGAATTGTGAATATGCTTCGCGTACATCTTGCGAACCCTAACGAAACAATCGGAGCTCGCGCTTCGTCAATCATTCGAAGCTCTGTTTTCATTTCATTTTTCCTCGTCGCAATTGGCAAAACCACACGAATCCAAAAACAAAAAATCTCTTTTCTTGCGAAATTGAACTTTAAATTCTGACCATTAGGCAATCCTATAGAATAATCAATAACACTGTTATTTTGTTATGGAACAAAACTCCGTTCACATACGAACTCTATGTTGCATTATTAATCACGTACCTTTCCCTGTACGGTAAAGAGGATTATAACAAATTACGACCTAGTTAGGCATTCAAGCCTTTATCATACAGACAGCAATCAAACGGTAGTTCCAACTCTGTATATAATATATTCGTATTTAAATACACTGGCTTTGGACTGAGTTAATCCTACGGGAACTATATTCAATGCGTATTGAGTCTCTTATTTATTATTAATGAAATGGTTCAAAATGGACACTAACATTTTGTTCGTATATTTTTCAAAATGAAGCATTTTAAAGATGGTTATACTATTTGACTGTTATATGATATTGAATGAAAGTTTGATGTTAATGATGTTGTTGTTGTTGTTAGTTTTAGCGTTCTGTGCTAAATTCAGGAAAACGTAAAGTTTATGAAATTACCTCGGTGTCGGTGTGTAAAAGGTTTTCCTGTAAGTGTTTGGCAAATATTAAAAATTTGACATAGTTATAACATGCGATGAAACAGATACAGGATGGGCGGCAGTATTTTTCTGATCACAACGTAGAATTCTTGTTTGAAATTTCTTGCTTAATGATATCAGAGAAGCGCCTAACAAATACTTCTTTATAAAGATGGCACACGAGCATATACTGAAGAATCATTTTAATTAAAATATTGTTAAATAGTCATATTTATTAACTTTGTATTTACAAATATTTATATCCATATATGTGTATGTATGTATGTTTATATATGTTATATCATAATCTGTTTGGTTACATATAATGTGTTTTAATTTTACTTTCCCTTTTTCCTTTTAATTGCTATACTGTTGACTGGTATAGAATGCTTTTAGGCGTTAAGTCCGCCCTTTTTATCCTTTTTTTTCCTAAGGCATGCAATACTGATTTTAAAATGAAAAAATAAAACTCAAAATAATTAAAAATCAGTGGCTTCTAAAGCGGCTGCTCAACTATGGCACCTCCAATAAGGCAATCTGTGCTGATAGATTAAAATGAAGAAACGAACGAATGAATGATTTGCTATTGCGTAATTCATATAGTATGTTATCGATTCAATTCCATTCATACCCCATTCCAGCCTATTAAAGTCTGTGTGAACGTAGGCCTCTCACATACATTGTCTCATAGCGAGAATCATGCCATAGTTGCCACGTTTGGCAGGCGGGGCGGGTAACTACAGTTTATTATTATTTTGAATCGTTATCAGTTCATTCTATGTCTCCTGTTACTATACAAACGGGTCGATAAGGGTTAGCTGATATCCTTCCGCTTGGTATAAATTATTGACAAGGAAATCTAGTGTACTTATCCAGTTCTAAGTGTTCTCTGTTAAAATTACTCAAACGAAACACTTATTTTATATAAATTTAAAATTGTAGTCCCACGTTGGTCTAGGATTCATAGGTCCCATAATCATATGGGACTTATAACACTCAATCATATGCCAACTATGTTGCCTGCCCGCATGTCGCAAAAGGCGACTAATGGACTTTTTATAGGAGAAGGATGACAAACGAGCACACAGTCCACCTGAAGGTAAGTAGTGCTGTGGCCCATAGACATCTTTATCAATCCTTGATTACGAAACAAAATGATAATGCGTTGTCATCCGTGAGGATTAAGATGGTGATTAAGATGCCTCCTTTCCAGTAAAAAGGTTCTCCGGTTCTCTACACTCACCATACGAAAGACAGCCGCAGTTAAGCTGCTATTTTACGCTGGTATTCTGTGAGAGCGTGGTCTTTCCCAGGTCGAGCCGAATCATTCATGCTACAACTATACTACTCATATAACTGCAGCATCTACCACGTAGGGTATATTGAGTTTTTATTATGCAGGTGATGGGCTAGATAGCTATCACTTATTCCACAGTTCTCCATCTTAACCAATTTTTTGGCCATATGTGATTCGAGTTATTTTACTGCTCTTTAGGATCTGTATACCCAATGCCTCACACGCTGTAATAACCTGTAGAAATGAATACAACAGAAAATGGCAGATTGCAGCGTGGCAGTAAAATAAAGTAGAGTCATGTTGCAGCTATATAGTAGTTGCAGCAATAGAGCCAGAATGAATGCTAGCCCATATACACTACATTTATAAACTATAAAGAATGAAAATGCAGATTCGTTGTCACCCCTGAAAACAGATGGAATGCCCTGTATCCAGTAAAAAGATTCTTCGGTTCTCTACACCATACGAAACACAGTACCATTGAACTGCTATTTTACGCTAGTATTCAGTGAGAGCGTGTGTCTTCCCCGGTTGAGCTAACCCATTCGTGCTACAACCATAATATAGCTGCAATACAGCTGTAACACGTTCAATATATTTCATACGTACCTTTTTTATATGTACTGGTTTAGCACGTAATATTGTTGTTGTGTTGCTTATTTAATTTAATTTTTATTTTTGGCATCTATCACATTATCTCCACTCGTACGAGTTCACTGAGAGAATTCCAAAAGGCATTAAGTCCGCTCTTAGTTATCTTTTTTAGGTATTATAAACAATAAACAAAAAATTGTAAATAAATAAAACTGTGTCAGTCAGAGGGAGAGAGGCCCATGCTTAGCGGTGGATGATGATCTGCAACATTGATAACGATAGTAATACTTCATTTATGTAATGAAGTATAAACTGTCATCTTTATCTCGTTGAATTAAAAAAAAACTAGGATTCGGTATTTCTAATAAAATGGGAAAAGCGATTTCAATAAATCACAAACATCAACTGTTTTATACATTTTAAGTTATCAAAGAATTGTAGAAGAAAAGTCATAAGTAAAAAAGATAGAAAAAGTTTTACTATGAACAAAAGTGGCGAGCTCAAACCTTTATAAACTTGATATAACTTTCAATAACAAAAAAGCTGTAAAGAAAAATTTTCCTTTTTTACTTTATTATACTGTGTTATGAAGCAAACATAATAATAAATATTTATTTTTTAAGCAAATATTGTTTAAATAAGGTAATACTACCAAAGAGTGCCTAATTGATAAAAGGCCTCTGGAAATAAGGTAATCGCTACCATGCTGTTTGTCTAAATGTTTTCATAGTTAATTGTATAAAATATTATATTGTAAATTAATGTTAAAAAAATCCCACTGGGGCTCTACTTGGTTGTTCCCAGAAAGGAGTAGAAAGTCCAAACTAGAGTATGATATACAACTGATATTATAATAATGTACGTCTGTTAATAGTTTTGAATGGAACCCAAATTTTTTTTCTAAAATAAAAGTAACCTAAGTTACTCCTTACAACATTAGCTATCAGCCAGTGAAAGTCCCGTCAAAATCGAATTGTTGTTTTGTTATAAGTACCGTATATACCTTCGTAATATGCATTTAGTAAAAGGCTGTTGTTTTGACATAAAAAACAGACACTTCAATTTTATTTATTTATATAGATTTTAGCAATATGAATACTTTTTATACGTTTATTTTATTTATTTTTGTATTTATGTATAATAACATTTCCACGTAGAATACTTTTTAAGCGTATTTGCTTTTGAATTATTACATAAACTTTTTATTATTTTATTATTAACTACATTACTTTTATTAACTATTTCGTTGTATCTCTGCATCACCCCAAGGAAGATTGGCAGAGCATGCAGCCTTTGTATTACGACGTGTGTATACAAAGCTTTAATAAAGATATTAATTAATGACTTTATCAAATATATACTAATTTAAGTACATTAAATAATAACGCACGCCTGTTTAATAATACAACGCATTGTCAGCCTTATTTCATTTTAGAGCGGGAATGTTATCTTTCCAATTGGAACAGCTGAAATTTGAATCCGTTACGTGTTCCCAAAAGCAGATGTTTAATTTACATTTGCATAAACACAAACGAAACTATGATTAGTGATCGTTGGCAAAATATTGATAATGTGGTCCCGTTGGAAACATCGGTCTATTGAATTAGTGAAATAGCTCCGCCAATGGCTGTATAAACAAAATATGCGAATAGAATCCGATATCATATTTGTACTGCTTCGCAATTGAATTAACTTTTATAGTGAATGCTAATATTTGTTTGTTTCTGTACTTGAACTATTTAAGTTGTAGATTTTCGATTCCTTTATATCTATTTGTTATGTTATGAACGTATGTGATTAATTAAATATTTTGACATGATACAGAGAAACCCTATAAAGATGGAACATCGGGGAAAACTCTCGTAAATTATATCTAACCAACATTATCACCTAATATGTTTTTAGAATCAAAATAAAAAGTAATTAACTAAAGGAAATAAGTTTATAAGTTAAAAGACATAAAAATATTTTCGAGACTAAAAATGTCTGTTAAAGTATTTCTTCAAACATGTTCATTTGAATTTGAACTTGTTTTATTTACAAATAAAAAGCTTTAAAGACCTTGATATTTAAAAATTATTAAAACCTCTTCATCTTCATAAGCATTTTCGCAATCGTAAAATTTGTGTTATGTAAACAAAAACATTTTCATGAAAGCTCACCTTTGAACAGCCTGAGGATATCCAGAAATCCTTGTATCACGTTTCTTCCTCCTGTTGTCACTTTCCACTCTCTTATCACTGTTTTCACGGATCGTATGATACCTCGGTTGATAACTTTCAAGTTGCGTGTGTAAGCGCGCGCGTGGCGCCTCGTTTGAGACCCGCTGCGACATGAGGTCCCCTCGTCCGTACTCAGCGGCGGCTGGAGCCACACTACTGTGGATTCTCTCAGCAACCCCCGGACGACGTTTTTCTTCAGTGAAAGCCACGCGCGGTGGCTTTGGTTGCATTAAGCTGATTTTCTTTTTTTTCGCGGTTGACGTTACGTAGAAGAAGTAACCGTTGCGGTCCATCTTTGGTGCGGTCGCTTTTACCTGAAACAACGTTTTTACATATTCAACTTTCGATTCAACATAAAGACATCAGATAACATATTGATAGTAGAAATTATATAATAAATATTATGTTATTTTCCCTTAAATAAAGGAATATCACTTTTTGGTAACTATGACTTAAATATATGTAGGTAGGCTATGACATTTCTTTTTAAATAAGGGTGACAAATGAGCGCTGAGTTCACCTGTTGAGAAGTTGAATCTGAGGACTAATAAGGATAGGTCTCGTACCAAGTAAAAAGGTCTTCGGTTTCCGTCACTCATTATACTCAACATTAGCATTAAGCTGCTATTTTACGCTGGTATTATGTAAGATCGTGGTCCTTCCTCATACATCCTTCGTGCTATAAGCATATAATAGCTGTGGCATGTCTCTATCACGTATGAAAACTTATGAGATATTAAAAGAAATTGTTTCTCAAAGAAACTTAAATATGTATGAATGTGATTTTATATATGAAATTACACCTTTAAAATATACAACAATCTACGCTACTAACTAACTAACTATCACGCTCTCAGATTTTTTTGAAGCTTTGCAAATGTTTGAAAATCTTTGTCAGAGCTATAGTAAAAATTAAGTGAATCAACTTTATGGTTTATGAAGTAGTTGATTAAAGTGTTATAAAAAGGTTCACGTTGACTAATGAAATTAATTCGACTAATATCTTTTACGCCATATCATCTTTTTTTTTGGGGGATCGCAAGAGTCGCTAGAGTGTAACAGAAACAGGCATTTTCTTGATAACAAACTAAAATAATTTAAAAAAAATGATGTGGCCAACTCCCCCTCCAGATATGGCAACTCTAGCAAAATCTCCCCAATTAAAAAATCTATGAGGAAGGTTTGACTGCCTTATTGGTCTGGTGGTAGTAGACGCGGTTGCTGATCATGAAGTCCTGGGTTCTGATCCCGGGTCGGACCAAAATTAAACTTTTTGGTCGTGTCGGTTTGTCGTCCCATCGGACTATGAAAGTGAGGGAATAGAGTTGGCTAGATCCCCATATGACCTTGTCAGCCGACTGAAACTGACTGAAAGGTTGTAGTGAATAAACAATTGAAAATCTATTAAAAGTAGTAATAAAAGTAACTCAGGTGCTAGCGCTGGCGGTAAATTCCACAGTACGTGAGCAACCCGGATCAGGTCCCCGCTAGCGCTAATGAAATTCTTAAGTGCTGAATAAGTAAATGCTCGGCGGCAAAGGAAACAGTGTGAGGAAATCTGCTTCTCCGAGGAATACCGAGGAAAAACAATATTTCGTAGACGTGAAGTCGGCCAATATATAGTGATTCTGTGCGGCGGATTATCTGCTCTTTCAGAGTACTGTACTACATTAAAAGTTTAGTAGTTTGTAGTAAAGTTAGTTTAGTACTGTATTAAAAGTTTTTTTCTGTAAAGTTTTTTTGCTTTTATTTGTTTAAATATAATGAAAAAAAAATCACTAATATTGGGAGACCATTTTTATACATAAATCTTTTATAAATATCAGCTGTTCGCCGCGATTTCATCCACATGGAATTTATTTGCGGCTCAATTTCATAGGTTTTAATTTTTTGCGTGGTACTCTAACTTTATTCTAAAATAAAAGAAGCTTAAGTTTATCTTTATAAAATCAGCTACATACCAGTGAAAGTCCCGTCAAAATCAGTTCAGCCATTTTCAAGACTAGCCGAAACATGCAAACGGACAATTAGATGGACAATAATTTTAAAAAATGCTTTTTGTTATAAGTACAATATATATATACTCTCATATACATTTGGTAAAAGATGTTATTTTAGTTAGACGAGTGTGTATGTGTAGATATATGGATGTAAAGGAGGCGAAAGAGGTGTGTCAGGATCGTACCAAATGGAAGTCCGTGGTCTCTGCCTACCCCTCTGGGTGACAGGCGTGAGTGTTTATGTGTATGCTACGTTATTTTGAAATTACAAACAGACGCTGCAATTTCAAAAACTTTTATTTATTTGCATAGATTATAATTCTTTTTAATCATAAATTATTTTAGAAATGAATTTATTCTTATTGCATAAAAAATTACTAAAGAACTATATAAAACATGAGTCTTGACAACATACTCTCTCTCAACATACTCTTATCTTGAAATAATACTAGTTTTTACGGAATTTATCGCGTATATTTAACTTTTTAATACCCGACGTTTCGAACGCTTTACAGCACTCATGGTCACGGGCGGGACTGAGATGTTCAACGTCCATATGTCATAGTTAACCGCGGTTACCATAGATTAAAATTTAACTTTTGTTCCGATCTATGCAGTATGAACTTATGGTATCTTGAAGTCTTGCAGTTGTATGCTTGGGTTTGGATTTAATTTTATTTATTATAGGATCCCAAGCAGATGGTAGCACCCAACCATCTTCTCTATTGAAATTAGGATGTTTTTTGATTTCAATAGCCTCGCGAATCATCCTTGGAAGGAATCGGTGTTCTTTAGCGAGGATTTGCGGTCTATCAAATCTGATGTAGTGACGGGGGCGATCCTGTACGTATTCACAGACTGCAGACTTCCCGGAGCGTCTGCAGTCTGTGAACACGTACAGGATCCCAACCCAAGCATACAACTGCAAGACTTCAAGATACCATAAGTTCATACTGCATAGATCGGAACAAAAGTTAAATTTTAATCTATGGTAACCGCGGTTAACTATGACATATGGACGTTGAACATCTCAGTCCCGCCCGTGACCATGAGTGCTGTAAAGCGTTCGAAACGTCGGGTATTAAAAAGTTAAATATACGCGATAAATTCCGTAAAAACTAGTATTATTTCAATGTGTAGTGTTCGCGTAAATATAAGAAATACTCTTATCTATTTGGAAGCAATTTCTTTCAGACACCTTTGCGAGGTTTTTTTTTAATTTCTTGTTGAAAATGAATTGTATTGGTAGTGCACAACAGCATTATTAATGTTGTTGTGTTTGTATGTTAAATGCAGAGATCGAGAGATACTTTTAACTGATAACGGGACATTTCATCTTAGTTCTCAGGGCTGAAATTGCTTTTTAATCCTTATTTAAGCCGACATTTAATTCTTTAATAGATTTAGATGTTTATGGGCCTCAGAGTATGGCGCTTAGTATCCACATACCATCAGGTGGACCAGACTCATTTGTCACTCTTAATTGTAAATTGAGAATTTGTAATCTCAATAAAAATTGGAATATGTGATTGTTGCTTACACCGAAGTGAAAACACTGGCTTTTCCCATATGATTGCTGGCTACGGGAGATTGGCGGATACTTAGATATAAACGCTAAATATCTGTTTTGCGTGAAGAGTATTGGTCATAACATCCGTAATCTTTTGGGTTACTTGGTTACTTGTGTCCACCAGAAACGATGCAGGCTCTGGAATGTATTCCCAATCGAAAACGAGATTTACGCAGAACATAAATTCTTGTTTTTAGAGTCAGGATGTTTTGTGATGGTCAACACGTCTCGGGTATAACATCCGAATCAGATTTAGTTGTATGATTCGTACGAGTGCAGTTTCTAGGCACTGGCGGTAAATTTCAAAGTACCCTAAAAGCTCGGGTTTCATTCTGTGGTCATCAAAACGAAAGTGTTAGTTGCAGTTTTATGTGCTACATAATGAATTTAGATGATGAACTTCAAACAGTGAAGTCCGTAGATGTGAAGGCCAAATCTTACATTGGATGTGATTCATTTGTCGTTATGTTTAGATAACATAATGAGTGAGAGAAAATTACCAAGTAAGTTTGTGAGAGTTTCTTTTGTAAAATAAGAGTAATAAACTAGTATACAGTCCACCTGATGGTAAGCTCTACATATTTTCGGGAAAGAGCCATGCTGCAGCTATATTATGGTTGCAGCACGAATGAGTCAGCTCGATCGGGGAAGAACCACACTCTCACAGAATACCAGCGTCAAATATCAGCTGTGACCCACAAATATCTACATCTATCCTTGAGTAAGAATCAAAATGCAGATGCGTTGGCACCCATGAAAACTAAGATGGAATGAAATGTTTCAATAAAAATCATACTCACCATACGAAACACAGCAGCATTGAGCTGCTATTGTACGCTGGTATTCTGTAAGAGCGTGGTCCTTCCCTGGTCAAACGGACCCATTCGTGCTACAATCATAATATAGCTGCAGCGTGGCTCTACCACGTTGAAGAGTATAGCCTAAAACATTTTTTTTCAACGATTTATTTTGGATTCGCCCCGACTAAAACCCCATGATGTTCCCTTACCGCATATTCCACCACCAGAACCAGTGCCAGTCGTATGGCAACCTCTCCTTGGGGGAGGATTAGTCCTCCCCTTTTGCTTCTTTCTCAGATAAGGCGCACAATAAACTCAAGGTGCGTCTTTCTCCACTGCCTCAGCTTCACCTGCGCAACGAAGCCCTGAGCCTAATACGTAGAGGCCATGTGGCCAGTATAAAATAAGCGCTCGGAAGCACCATCTTTCCTAACATCAGCGGTGGATCTGGTCGATAATTCCGGCGTCAAACAAGTTCTGGCTGCGGAGGGTAGGGGGAGCGGTGCCTCTCAGTATCATCACTTCTCTCCCCCGCAGCTCTAACACGTTCGAATCAGCGGTGCAGCTCTGCCAGAATCGTGGAGGATAGCATGAGTGGCACATTGCCATACCAGCACTCCTCTTCCCTTGACTTCACCTCGGCTGCGGCAGTAGAGAGAAAGGACACCCCTCTTGCCATATTTCATTTACTCACATCCAAAATAGGCCCGCCAAGCCCACTCAGAGTGGCCACCTCGGGCCAGCAACCCATGTGGATTCCTCTTAGTAGTCCAAGCAGCAGCTACTTAGCCCCCCGCCACGACAAGGTGGAAACCTGTTTGGAGGAGGGGGGGGGAACCCAAAGGCACCTACATCTATATGTATGTGCATTTTGAATCTTAATCGGGAAATTCAATGAAAATGCTTTGTCACCCCTAAGTACT